CCTCAGCGACCTCGTCCCCAGAGATTGGAGAGCCCAACCCAAAGTCCCCAGGCTCAGCTTCCTCAACAGAAGGCATCCTCTCTCCTCTACATGTTTGTTATAATTATTTCAATCAATAATGTGTTTTTTATTTTATTTTTTGTTTCTCTTCTGGAGGAAAATACACCTGGACCAGTTCTTCTGTGTTTGTCTGTGTCTCTTTCCTGTCCTCCAACCAGCTGGTCGAGGCAGATGGTCTCCTGTCCTGAGCCTGGTTCTGCTGGAGGTTTCTTCCTGATTAGCAGGGAGTTTTTCCTCTCCACTGTTTGCTCAGGATGTGAGACTGTGATGAAGTGATTCAACACAATCTGCTGGTTTCTTCTTTAGCTTGTTTATTTTTTACGTACAGTGCCCTGAGACAACGTATGTTGTGACTTGGTGCTATATAAATAAACTGAACTGAATAATGATGCAATCAGTGATTATATTTTACTAACTGAGGGTTTGTTCCTGATGACAAAAAGAGACATTTGGAACATTCATTGGGGGTGCTGAGGTCAAATCTATGTTTGGGTACATCACAGACATGAAAGTTCAGATTTTACTTTTAAATGTCAAAATCTAGGTTATGGTAGCTCCCTGTAGTAGAGAAATGTTACAGTAAAAATGTGGTTTAATTCTTTTTTACATTCACTGTCCCCCGCAAGTTGTATATCTGTAAATAATAGTTGAATTTAAGGCATTAATGGGCTTTGATTTGTGTACATATTTCCAATGATTAGCATGATGGTAATTGTTAGCTTTTCTTTGTTTTCAATATTTAGTTAGCATTCATGCTAAGTGTTGTTCATCAGTCTGTGATGAACTGGCTTTAGGAAGTTTCACACACTGCAGTTCATGGTATTTTTACTCACCACATAAAGATCAAAAGGGATATGTGGAACAAATGGACGGTACCTAAACAGGAAAAAAAGAAAAGTTTTTGTATGAACTTCATCTGAACATCCAAGAACATCTAAAGTCAAACATGGCTGGGTTTTCAATATTAGGTTAGCATTAATGCTAAGTTGATGCTAAATTGGCTTAACAGCTGATTTACTTTACTAGAGTTTGACGTTTTCCCTTCACTCAACACACTGAGGTGATGAAGAGATCAATGATGGACTTTAATATTGTGTAGAGTTTAATTATATAAAACCATAGTGTGGGAGCCATAGTTCATGTTTTGTTGCCTACATGTGTTTAGTCCTGCACCTCAGCTAATAGAAATAAGGGGTGTGGTTGCAGGCACTGTGTCCTGTTGCGCAGCTGGGTGAGAGTTTTTGGTTAAAATCTTTTGTTGATCGTTATCGTCGTAGTGTTTTTTTTTTTTGTAGTTATGCCTCAAGCATTGTTCATAGAACTGTTTCATTTTTGTTTTAGTTTTTAAATTAAGTGCATCAAACTCTAGCGGACTCACAGATGACCTTTTTTTTTGCTAAACATAGTAAAGCACAGGCTTGTTTTTTTTTTTAAATACAAATGGTTGATGTCTTGGTACCAAACAGTTTTTCACCAGCTTAGTTTATCACAACCCATAAGCACAACCTTTGGATTTTGACAAACAACTCATGCTCACACACATTAAGCTTTCTGTCAGACACCCTCACATTTTAATTTACACATTAGGGGTACTCTGAGTTTCAGAGACTCTTTTTATTTTTGTATTAGCCTTTATTTAATAAGGCAAAATCCATGATAAAATTTTCTTAACTATTTCAAACAGAGTTATAGTTGATTTGGTCAAATCTAAAAATATGAAACAGTATAATATGTATATATGTAAATTGGTGTTCTAGAAGGATTTAATGGTTTTTATGTGTTGTTAATTGAAGATTAGTATTGTTTGAGTTTATACTTGAGGAAGAGGCAGATACATTATTTTCTTCTCTGCTTACGTTCATTTCATTCTATTTGTGTTTTTTTTATATTTTTATATTTGCACAAAGATTTGATTTGTTTTAAAGACATGAATAAAGATTTTAAATAAAACGAATGAATCTTGTAAACAAGAACAAAGCAGTGTGCACAAATCCAATACAAAAAAAGGAGAAAGAGTAAATGGGTGCCCGGTTCTGAGGAATCCCAAAAATGCAAGCAGCACACCAAAAACTATCAGCATGTTATTTCAGCTGATATTTTTTGGAGTGCTGCTTATCCCATTTTTGCAAAACTTGTAAACATAATATGTGAGAATACAGAGTTTGTTATTCCATATGCCAAGCTTTAGATATTAAACTAAAGTTTAACGTATATCAAAGCAGTTGACTCTCAACTACGACATCATCAAACATTAGTTCTGTATCTGTACGTGTGTTGTAGCTATTTGTGTTGTTTGTAGGGCTGCCACGATTAATCGATGACTAGTTTAATAATCGATTAATCGTTTTCTCTTTTTTTGTTGTTCTTTACTTTGTTTTTCTCTCCAAACTGCATTGACACCTTCCACTGCTACATCTGCCTTTCTG